ACTTGTCTTCGCTGCTGGACTGCCAAGAGATCAGCCTGGACGACGGAGGGATCTTCGGGCTGGACGAACTGGACGTCGTCACCGCCGAGGATAAGGAAGAGGCACAACGCCGAAAGGATGAGCTCCAGCGCCAATTCACCGTGGCGGCCAAGGCTTGCTTCGGCGACCTCAAGACCAAGGCGGCGGCCATCAAAGAGGAGCAAGCCAAGCAGAAGGAGCGGCTCAAGGCCAAGCGGCCTCGCCCTTCCGCTGAGCCTGCAGCAGCAGCGGCTGACGGCAACACCAGCGGGCCAGCGAGCGGCGATGCCAAGGCCCCCCCGCAGGCCAAGGCCCCGCCGACGCCTGGCAAGGCCGCGGCCGCGGCTGCACCGCCGTCAGCCAAGCCGGCGCCAGCTGGTGCCGAGCCGCCCGAGGCAGCTGCCGAGGCCACTCCGTCGGCGGCCAATGCTGCCAAGGAGAAGCTGGCGCAGGCTGCGACCGCCAAGTCACAACAGCAGCGGCTTTAGCACAGGCCATCATGAACACTACCATTCTACCTGGGGGCAGACGCAGGATGCGGGTTGGACAGTCCAGCTAGACCATCTTGTGCACTGCAGTTTTGACTACTCAGAAGATAGGCACTCGACGTTGTCTTTCCCTTCAGTCCTGGGAGACTGTTGGCGTGACGGCAGCGCGGGCGCCGACACCTGCAACTTCAACGTTTCAAATCCTGGCTGGTCCAGGGTCGACGTCGCGGCCTGCTTCTTCCCTCTGGGCTCCAACTTCCACAGGAGGCGGTGGGACACGGCGAGAGGGGTTGGGCAGGATGATTTGCTATTCGCAGCTCAGATGACGGACTCGCAATTGGAATGCGATGAGCGGCCTGAGCAGCCCCCAGCGCCGCGGAGACGGGCCCGATCCAGCCCTGCCCCTGCGCTCGACCGCCTCATCGACCAGTGGGCCGCCCGCTGGCTTCGCGACCCGAAGAGCCCGAACCAGCTGGCAGCTGAGATGCGTGCGCTCTCGTGGCAGAGAAGTGACCATCGTCGGCGGAGGTGCCTGCGCTGGCTGGCGTCGCTCAACGCGGCTCACAGGCGCATGGCTATGGACATGCACAACTACGAGTACAACAGATTGCGAGAGTGGGCGGGCAACCCTGCGCGCACGGGGCAGGCCCCGCCCATCGGCCCTCCAGGCAGACGGAGGGACCCCAACGTCTACAGCTACTGTAGCAAGATCTGCGAGGACGAGCTGCTGGACTCCGACGACAGCGACGTCGAGAGCGGCGGCATCTTCAGCATGAGCGACCCGCAGAGATCCGATTGCGCCGTCAGGGCAGGCGACGCGCAGTGGGACCCAGAGCACCAGGACTTCAACTCAGACCACGACTCCAGCGTCGCAGAGCACAACCACAGCGACGATAGCCACGAGTGGATCGGGTACGACGCATCGGCCGACGACCACTGCCAGTGCCATCACAGGCCTGATGATGCTGCGGTTCGTCGGACCCTCGCCTCCGAGAGGGTTGGTGGATCAGGACGCATCTCGTGGGCTGGCTGGCAACCGAACGATGCGGACGACAAGCTGGACCCGCACGCTCGAGGCCGAGCTGACCAGCAGCAGCGACAGCTTCTACACTTGCTACGCACCATGGCAAGTACGTGGATGACGCCAGAGCCCGACGTGCACTGCGAGCAGGAGGGCAGGCGAGAATGGCGTGAGCACTGCGTGCCCTACGTGAGCGCGCAGCTTGGAGCAGACGTGTTCGTTCCCATCCTGGGGGCTATCGCGGCTCAGCAAGGGGTCGATGTACTGGAGGCGCGCCTCAGGATGGCTAGGGACATCTGCGCCCGCGCCTGGCAAGAGCGAGCCCGAGCACTGACTTCGTCAGCGGGCTCGTCGGCATCCATCAGTCCGTCGGACATGCCAGCATCGACGTCGGCTACGCAGAGTACGGCAGCTTCCTCACCTAGCAGTAGGAGGCGCCGCGGCCAGGCCTCGGACGGGCCTCCGACCTGGCGGTTCATCGCCGTCAACCACAACACTTGGGCCTCGCACCAAGAGGTCCTGGAATGGCAGCTGGCCCAAGGGGCCCGCCGATGCCGCGCCTGGAGTGTGCAAGAGACCCGGCTCGAGAAATCCAAAGAGAGGTCGGCGTCGAACTGGGCGCTACAACGGGGCCTCAAGACCACTTTCGAGGCGGCGGTGCGCACGGGGGAACACCAGCTAGCCACGTCTGCGGGGGTCATGGCTGGAGTCGCTTCGCATGCTCGGTCGGTTGCTATCCCTTGGCAAGACCTCGGTCTCCGTCGCACTGGTGCAGGAATAGTTGCTGCGCTCAAGGTTGACGCGATGGTGGCCTCTGGATTTCTTTGGATAGCGTTGCACGCCCATGACGGTCAGGAGTGCAAGGGGGGCAACCTGGAGCCCCTTGAGGACCTGGGAGCGTACCTGCAGAGCTGCCAGGTGCCCTGGATTATTGCAGGAGGTTTCAACATGCTGCCAGAGACGCCTGGTGTGG